AAACCCCCCCCCCCCCCCCCCCCCCGCCTAATGAGGGAACTGCATACCAAGCCCTAGGATGACGACCCCATATAGTAGTAATAGTGAAATCATTTACAGTTTCCAATTTTATTTCCAAAATACGCAGGATATGAAGATTAAATTTTGTACCAAGATTCCTCAAACATCTCTTTTTTTCTCTGCCCCCTAAGCCACACACATTCCATACAATTATACTACCCATAGAAGTGATTACAGAGACCATACCTTCAGACTATTTATGGAAGCAAATCACGTCTTCTTCCTTAGGATCCACTCTTCCTGCTCCCGGTCTAGGAATCCCTGCAGTGTCTGAGTCATGAGTGTGCTATCGTCATGCCCTTGGAGAATAGCTTTTCCAACTTCCCAGCAAGCAGTGGCTTCGGCCCAGTTATCAGAATGTGCAGGCTCATTTGCTTCATCACCAGCATTGGTGTCGGGTCTGTATCTTGAACTACTTGCCTCATCCTCACCAATCAATTCCTTACCAGCTTTGATAATAGCATTTCTATTCTTTATCCCATTATCAGAAACTGAGTATTCAACAATTACGGTCTCTGATTGCTTACCGCTGTGATTTCCCATTTGACGTGATTTCCTCCTCCTAAGAGATTGTGTTCTGCGTGTGAGCTTCTTTGCTTTTTTTTCTGTGGGATTTCCTGTTTCCTACTTTCAGAGCACTAAGCTCATATGGATCAGCAATAGGAGTGATAAAGGTTGTAAAAGATGGCCCAATGCTTGTTGAATCAAGATTGGTTTCCGAGCCTGTGCTTGAAGATTTCTGCTTTTTCTTACGGCCCATCTTTTTCAGGAGTCCACTGTCATAATCTATATGTTGATCCAGCCTATCCTTAGCAGTAAAGCAAGAAACTTGTTGCACAGCTACCTCTCTGCATGCAACTGAATCCACCTCGACATATACGTAAGGTACCAAGGCTAACCGGTTATCGCCTTCGTACGTACTCTCATCAGATAAAACCGCATGTCTGCAAATTTCAGTAATTTCTGGGTAGAGGTACAACGGTGAAATTTCAGACGTGGTGAGTGTGCTGGCAATCTGAGTTTGGGTGCCCATCAAACCGGTGAATTCAGATTCAAATTCGGGTCTTTGTTTTGTCTCTATATGAGTCGTTTCTGCTCTATTATTTTCCTCACAAAAATCATCTTCATCGTCGTCGGATAGCACAGATGTTGAACACAATGATACATCCATGGAGTGTTTGACTGTTGTGAGAGAGGGGATAAACTCACCTTTGATTTCTTTCAAACTGACCTCAACCTGCACTCCTTCTAGCTGGAGCAACACTTGATCATGTAAAGGTTCCAGCTTTGTGGTTCGAATAAGAACCCTAATACCTGATATGGACCCCTGACTAACACAGGAAGTGTTGTATCCTACAATATTTCCCCAGCTCTGAAGCAAAATATTGATACAGTTTCTGTTCCATCCCTCCATTGGCAAACCAAATATGGAGATCCAAGCAAATCTGTCATATGCTCTAGTCCTTGTTTCCCACTGTCTGAGATTGCTGAATAGAGAATGCAGCACAGATACTTTATTCCTTTGTTCTTGCACTGAGGCTAACTGATCCACATAGGTAATAATCACCTGGCTAGCTCCCAAAAAACGAAAGCTCACAGCTTTGACACTTGATTTTAAAACCGTTGTCTCCAGTGTTGCTACATCCACATTTGGCAAGATATTTCCCACTAAACTCCTATGCAACCATTCCTTATCCTCATCCGTGGAATTGTACTGTATCATTCTCCTCGTCTTTGTGACCATTTGTTGTGGTTTGGATGTGAGAACCTCAGCAAAGGATCTGTTATCTCTGAACTTAGGTTGGGGTTTACGAGGGGATGCAGGTTTGGGTAAGGGTTTATGAGGTGATGTTGGCAAGGGGGGTTTAGAGGATTGAAGCTTAGCTGGGTTCACTCTTAACTTATAGGAATCGAACCAAACGTTACTGGCTTGGTCACAAAGATCAGACACAGGCAAGGGTGATAGTATTTCCACAAAACCAAAGCGTTGGCCAATAACTGTTTTTCGTTTGGACAGAAACAGTTTGATAACCCTGCCGAACTTTCCGAAAGTCTTTTTCAGGTCTTGATGTTCCACCCACGAGGGGAATCTCTCAAAGAACAGTTTAAGATGGTCTGTACCAGTAGGGGTATTGACATAAGATGCCGGACTAAAATTTTTTGTGGGGGGTTTAGATGGAAGGACAGGGGAGGCGGCCTGGTTTGAAGGAAAAGTGACAGGATAATCTGTTGGATTTAGGTAAGTAGATGTTATTGTGGGTGGTTGAGGTAGGGTCTGAAGATGTTGGTAAGGAGTTTTGTGGAGGTGTAAGATTGATGATGCGATGACGGGCATGGGGGGGGTGGTTTTTGGTGAAGGGTGCAGAGGATGCAGAGGGTGAAAGGCTCAACATTTTTTGTAGTGTGGAGTTTGGTTGAGGGTGGTGTGTATTGGACAGGGGACGTGAAGGTGGAAGGATTTGGATGTTTTGTTTGTTTGAGGGATGTTCATGTTGATGTTGGTTTGCCATGGCTTTTTGGAGAGGTTTTTTGAGGACCCTGAAGGAATATGATATACCCAATAGCTTCTAACAGGACAGAGGCCATGTCAGTCTGCAAAAGAGCAACAACTCACAACAGGACAGGAGGTGGAAATGGTGGTGGGTCGGCTGAGTTAGCGGGAAGTGATGGGCTGAAGGATTGTTTGGTTTGGGAGAGAAACAGAGGAGGAGAGGGGAAAAGATCTTCAAGCTAAAGCAAGTTAGATTCCAAACCAAACCCAAGGCAGCTGCTGGTGGTGGTGCTGCAGCTCGAGATGCTCCTCGCTGCTGCTCAGACAAGTGCTCACGCTTCTGGATCCAATGGATCAGCTGCTGGAGCCACCGCCACTGCCACTGCTGGAGCCGCGGGAGCCATCCCTGCCACTGCTTGACCAGATGGAGATGCTGGATCCGCTGCTGGTGGAGGTGGAGATGCTGCTTGGTGTTTCGTCAGGCGGCAAACTTGCGGTTCAATAACACGAGCCATTGGCAGGAGGGGCCATGTTAAAATGTGGTGGTGATGTAAGAAGATAGTAAGAGAAAAATATTTTGAAACTGATCACAGCTAACTTAGCCTGGATAACTCTTTTACCTTTCTACTAATTGCAAAATAGTTTTGACATGATTGTTCATTAGCTTCTTTGGAGAGGTTCCTCTATTTCCCTTCTTTTTATTGAAGAAGCATCGAATGAACTAGCCTTATCCCTAAACACAGTTTCATTTCATGGCTTGCTGTGCCTGTGAGTTTGTCGACAAAAAAAGGCAACTGAAACACGGTAATATTGATTGATCCTGCCTGTGTTGTGCAACAGGAATGATGAAAGTAGAGATCATCTATTTTTTATTTTTTTTTGTGATCTCTCTAGAAAGGTGTGGCTTATTATGTTCCGGAAGTGTGGTTTTACTTACATGAGATTTAAATACAAGATAAAATGCCCTCCCGTTTGCAAGCTATCCAGTTTGAACTGGATGGCTCTTATTATCCTCATCACAATTAATATGGCAGCACATGTTATCGCCAAACAAATACACAGAATACAAATTTGTCTTTCGATTTTCTAAAAAAATATATTAAAAAAACAATAAATCTTTTGATCTTATTCTGTACCCAGAAGAGAAGTCCGTACATCCTCCCTCCTTTTCATTCGAGCCATCAATTTAAAGAGATTTGCTTGCACAAAAGACAATATTGAATTTGCAGTTGAAACCATCAATCTATAGGAACAAACTAATTGGGTAAAAAAAAGACAGTCTTGGAATGTGATGATGGTTGTGAAAAATCCATTACGTTCTTGCACCGTGATTGTCAGGATGAATGTAAATGCTAAACCCAAGCAGAGAAGGGAGTAAAAATTAAGAAATGTCGCTATCTCCATGCTAGATGTTACATAACTGGCACGACCTAATGATATCCGACCAAGGATTATAGCGGCGATGAGGGAGAAATTCATAGCTAGCATGTCAAAAAAAATATATGCTCTCATCAGATTTTTTGAACTACCACTGTTAATATCAGAACCTGATCCAGGCACAGTGATAGCACCAGCGAAGGTTACTCCAGCTACCAGTACTGCCACCACGAGAAGATTCCCCGCCCCTTTGTTCAGTTCCTCCGTCGTTAACGTCGTTCTTAGTAAATCAAAGATAAGCTTGATGTCAAACTCAGTCATACCATCTGCCTCCACCAAAACTTTTAATACCTCACGCTGAACAACAAAGTGTTAATTAGAAAATATATGGTATACAAATTATATAAAGCATCATGACAATCTTAGCTTAATATCCCATAATAACGAAGAAGTAATCCACCGCTATTTAGTAGATCAGTGAGAGATATTCCGTATTTTTTAGCAAGTAAATAACTTTATCTCCATTTTGGATTAATTAATCAAACTTAAGGTAATTAAAAGAAATCTATCATTCCCTTTTCCGTAAAGTTGCAACTTGGATAAAATGTGGATATGAAAGTTTTTGCTATACTAGAATATATTTGCTTCCATCACTTGATTAGCTTCTTATGTGGACCCAAACGGCTAGAATACAAAGTAATTTGACTTAAATACCATCTAAAGTGAAATGTGAATGGTTCAAATGGCAAACCAAAACCATCTGGCAATGAATGACGGATTTTTAAGAGATCATGAAGGAAATTTTTTGTGTCTTCTCTTGTTCTACGGGTATAAAAAAATTAAATGTGGCTGAGGCTTTGACAATTAAAAAAGCTTTTCAAGTGAGTATTGATTGTTCCTATGTACTAAGCTGGATTGTGGAGTGTAATACCATTACATTGGTCAAATGCCACAGTATCCACTTTTTTCTGAACTTTGCACATAGTCAGTGTTAGTGACATGAATCATGTCACAGATCATTTGGCAAAGCAAGGAACACAGATAGAAACAGATTTAATTGCAAGGTTTTAGTTTTTATTAAGGAACACAGATAGAAACAGATTTAATTACAAGGTTTTAGTTTTTATTAATTTTTTATATCATTGTCAGAAAATTGATAAATACAAATGGAGATATTGATGGAATATTTTCGTTAATAAATTACTGATAGATTTTACCGATAAAAATATTTCCTTGGTATTTATCGAGGAAATTATAATAGAAAACAAATAATGAAAACAAAGCAAAAAAATAATAATGTATTATTTTTACCAACAAAATTACTGATGTATTATTTTTACCAACAAAATTACCGACGAAAAGGTTTATTGACAGAGTATTTTTGTTTGTGATTTCGTTGATAAATTAATTATTAATAAAATAATAATATAAATACTGATAAAAAATTCTATTGATAAATCTAAAGATTGTGGTTGTGAATTTGGTTTATATCATGGCTTCGTGAGTTAATATAACATTGTTTTTTGTTTTTGTAGTTTTATTTGGTTTGCAAAGTACCTAATACATTTGTTTTTTGTTCTTCTTTATCTCTATACGACCATTATCTTATTGGCTATTAGAGATTTTAATGAAGTTCTCGTCCCTTATAAAAAAAGATAATTAAAAGAAATTTACCCGACCTTCCATATTCCATATGTTGTCCAGCTAAACCTTAAGAACTAGAGCCAAATAAAATCTTTATGTAACCTGTTTGTTAAAGTATCGGTTAAATGTAATACTTGAATATTTTCTTTTTAAAAAAAAAAAATGTCCGAGGAGAACTTTTCCAGATTGTTTGTTTAGTCCAACAGTTGTATTGTTCTTATGTAGGGGTGAAGACAAGAATTAATATGATGGTTTTTTCGTGAGATTTGTTTTGGATGTAACCGGGTTTTATGTTATCAGGTATATATTTGTATGTATGCTTGATTAATAATTGTAATCTCCAATACTTATTAGTGAATTTTTTGTACTCTGTTAAACTACGCCAAATTTTAATGTTCCGTTTGCTTTATGTTATTACTTGGTTTGCTAGAGTTTTGAGATTGATTAAAGTTTTGTGTAAAATAATTGAAGATGGAAATGATAAAATTTGAAATCAAATTGTTCAATAGGAAAAAAAAAAAAAAAAACGATTTCGTTCTTCGATATTGAAGAATGTTTTAACAACTCAAGGACTTGATATTTCTCTTGAAAAACTAAAGCTGCATAAATCCAGGACAATAATCGGAACTCAATTAAGAAGAAATCATCGAGTCAAAGTCGATTGGCTTTGACTCCATAGGTTAAGTACATTATCTTAGGTGAGTTGACCCTTATAGGCATATGGAAAAAACTAGAGAGTATTTATGCTTCTAGACCCAAGACCAATCGTTTTCTTTTTAAGTAAGATTTGTAGTCTTGAGGATGGATGAAGGAATGGATATATACAACTATCTTTCAAGAGTTATACTAGATAAAAATGAGGATAAAGAGCGAAACCTCATGTTTAAATGATGTAATTATAATCTTATGGATCATAAACGTAATAAGGTTTTGAAAAATTCATGGATTGTAGATTTTGCATGCTGCTTTCATATTTATTTAAAGAAATGATGTTTTGATACTTGCAAAGAATATGATGGAGATTCTATGGTGCTAGTAAATGATAATAAAATCTAAGTTGCTAGAATTGATAATGTTAAAATTAAGATATATGATGGAGCAATGAAAACCCTTTGTGATGTTAATTAGGCGCATGCCAAGACTTAAAAGAACGAAAGTTTGTGAAACCGAAAATCTTACCATTTTGCGAACTTCTGCTTCCATGGATTTGTTCCACGCACCTCTCGCAGCATCATCCTCATGCTTGGTATCGATTAGCTTGTTCTGATCAAGGACAAGCAAAGACAGTATTAATTTGTAAGTATACATTCGAAACTGAATTTGAATGTATTTTCTTGCATTCAGTTCTTGTAATGTTAAAGTTTGTCCTTTTCATTTTCATTTTTTGCAAGTATATATTTTTATTTTTAAAAAGTTATGTTTAACATTAGTATATCAAAATAATCTGAAAATATCAAAAATATTAATTTAAAAAAATAAAAAAATTCAATTTTTTTCAAAATATTTTTACAAGCAAAAACAAACGGAACCAATCTCAAGTTAAGGCTTTCTTTTATATTCAAGTCAAAGAATAACTAAGGGTTTGTGTATTGTATTTATAAATAAAACAATATTTTATGACTTTTAATATATTTTCTAATAGTATTATATAAATTAATAAATTATATACATAAAAATATCAAATTAATATAAATTTTCTTAGTACAAACAACTGATGCCAGTTTGTTAAGAATTTGAATAGAATCTTCAAAAATAATTCTCATAATATAAAGGAGAAAATAATATATCTATTTAACCTATTACCTATTTCACAGGCAAAAATGGTAATCGAAAAAAAAAATATAACAAAGAAAGAGCAACATTTAAACCCGAAATCAAATATAGTCATATCATAATAAAATAACAAGAATTACAAACTTATAAGTCATTGACCCAGCTGGGCAGTGGGCACGCAAGTATCGTGCGTGTACATTGATAAGTTCATTAAAATTCATAGTGCACAATGTTAAGTGAATTGAAACTGGAAGACTGGGGAACGGAGGGGACTTACCTCGTAGTTCTGGAGATGAAGACAAGATGGAGGACTGGTCGACTAGTTACTTTCACCTCTGTTCTTGCTTTTCTCTGATCGGTTTCTTCCTGTTCGTCCCCAGTTCTGCGTGTGTTTCGTTCTCCTGTGGCCTTCTGTTTTTGCTCGTCTTCTCTGGATTATCTCTGCTCTTGCTTCTGTGTTTTTTTGTTTGTGGTCTTTGGTCCAGTGTTCTCTGTGTATTATCTGTGTCTCCTCTGTGTTCCGTCGTCTCTGTTTTTCCTGGGTTTTTTTCGTTCGTTCGTCCTCTCTGCGTTTGCTTGTTTTCCCCCTGCCTTTTCTTCCCCAGTTCGTCCTCAATTCGTCCCTCCTCCTGTGTTCTGTTCGTGGGTTTTCTCTGTTCTTTTCGTTCTCTCCGTTCTTCCTCTGGTTCTCTCGGTTTGCTCTCAGTCCCCTGGTCTTCCTCCTCTTTGCCCAGGGATCAGTGTTTTACTATAATGAGAGTTATTATAAACTGTGAATGTTTTTGTATTGTAGCGCGAATTACTGTAGAAATGCTTTTATTGTTTACTGCACTGTTTTGGGTTTGATAATTGCTATATTCTTGCCACTGAAAGTTGTAAAGAATACGGGGGGTTGGGGTTGTCTTTTAGTCGGAAAAACCAAAAGATCAGTTTGAATTTTGATGAAACAGCACGATCCGATCCAGGCTGGAGACACTTAGTGATTGGCACGATCCAGATAACAAACACCTAGCAATGGGGCTAGTCAGTGAGCCCCCGCACACCCTGCTGAAAACCTGATATTCGAGTCTGAGGGCCGGAGCATGTAAAAAAGAAATAAATTGTTGTGTTTTTTTTTTTATTATATAAAGGTTAAGTAATAATATTTTTTTATTGCTATTATTTTAAGTTAAGGTTGAATTTTTTTATTAAAGCATGTTTGGTTTTATTTTTTAAAAAATATTTAAATTGTTTTTATTGTTTTCTTTGCTTTAAATAAATATTTTTTTAATTTTATTTTTAAATATATTGAAATTGGGTTTGGTGGTGTAGGATTCAATATAGCTTTAGCCTAACTACACAATAGGAATTGATAAGTTTGGAAGTCTAAAAATACTAGATTCGGATCTAAATCTTTTTAATCCTGTGTAAGGATTTAAGATTTTTACTATAATTAAAAGTATTAATATCAAAAATATTTTTATTTATATTATAAAAAATATTATTTTTATTATAATTAATATTATTAATATAATAATTAATAAATTAAAAATATTCTTATTTGTATTATAAATATTGTTATTATGCTATTGGTATTATAATTATTATTATTATTATTATTATTCTCCTATGTCTTGCATCAAGATCCGTTAGCCTTGGGTCTTCTATCAAGACTCGATTCTCCGAAGTCCGATGTGAGTAGCCAAGGCTATTAGAACCTTATTCTCTTGGATTAGTTGTTGGGATCGATTTCTTTTGGATCCCATAATCGGATCCATTTCTATTGGGTCTAATGTTAACATCCAAGGTTCTTAAGTTTTAGGTTTTTTGTGTTATAAATATTATTATTTTTATAATAATTAGAAGTATTAATATAAAAAAATATTATTTGTGCAACAAATAATATTATTTTTATTATAATTAAATTTTTTAATATTAAAAATAGTATTATTTATGTTATAAATATTATAAGAATTTGGGTCAAACAAGTTTATTATTATTATATTCATTAATATTATTAAATTTGTAATAAATATTATTACTATAAAAAAAACCATAACAATGATATAAAAAGTAAAATCAATTATTATTATTATTAATTGGGGTGAGGCATCCCCTTCCAAATGAACTTGGAGCTAAAAAGAGGTGCATCATCTAATGAGTTTGGGTGTGGCTAGAACACAGATTCAAATCCATTGGGTCTTGCAATCCCACCTCACCTAAGATTATTGGTCCTCATCAGGACCCAAAACTAATGAGTTCTACTTTAGGACACAAAACTCTTGGATCTATTGGCAAGACTTAAGGTTAACGGGTTTTGCGTGAGGATCCAAGGTTAAAGGGTCTTGCATCAAGACTTAAGGTTTTTGAGTATTAGGTTTCTAAATATAATTATTTGTATTATAAATATAATTATGTATATGATAATTAAAAGTATTAATATAAAAAATATCATTATTTGTAGTATAAATATTATTATTTTTATTATAATTAATATTATTAATAAAATAATTAATAAATTTGAAAAATATTTTTATCAATATTGAAATACAACTATAGATTTAATTTGAAGTGTAAAATGAAAAATTATTATGATTATTATTATCATTAATAAATTTTATAAAACTATTATTATTATTGAGGAAAAGCCATATTGTTTTTTGAAGGATTAAAAATAATAAAAATTTCGATAAAAAAGTTAAGTATTATAATTAATATTATAAATATTATTGTTAGGTTTGTTGTTGGAATTAGACTCAATGCTTTTGGATCTGAATTATAACAAAATTCAATGCTCTTAAATTTTAGATTTTTATTATATTTTTTTAAAAAATAAAAAATAAACTCACAGTGTAGCGCGGCCTATTTAAGTAGTATATACTAAATGTCTACCTCCCTGTTTTGATATATAACATGTATATATTTAAAAGAAATCAAGATGTTTAAGTTGCTAGTGTCTAAACTCCTGGTCTAAATAGAAAAAAGTAACTTCTTTCATGTACAAATTACACCACCGACTCACCATATAGTTGGAAGCACATTAATTACTCCCATGACTTTATATTATAATTAGGACTTTAAAAAGACGTCCAGACACGCCATTTTTAATGGATGGTCCTTACATAACTTCTGTCATTTAAAAAGTAACTTCAATCAATTATAAAAACCTATCACATCATATGATTACTCTTAAACCAAACAATTTAGTATTCTTCCTTTCTAAAATAGTATTGTTACCAATTATATCTCTAAAATAGTATTTTTATTAACATAAAAGATAAATTATGTGGTGAAATCAGTATATCTTTTCTAATAAAACATTGTAGATACTAATTATTTTGTTTAATATCTAAATTTTTTATCACTAACATATTTTTTCTATCATAAAATATTAATTTTATTATATATTTAATTTTTATTATTTATCTAGTTCATAATTATAATACAGTAATATATTTATTTTACAAAACCACGGTGGAGCGCCGGCATCCCATCTCGTTTAAACTATAACAGGTAAAACACCAACCAGTACCCTGAATCTCGGAAGCAATCAACCTCCAGGTACAAGCTATAGTCCCCATGTGTCACCTTCTTATTTGTTAAAAAATCTCCCAAGTACAAAGCAATCATTCTATAATCGCTCAGACGCGTATAATGCGCATAAAGCCAAAAAATGCAACAATAATCAAAAGTAAAAAAAAAAAAATCTCAGTAAAAATATCGGGGTACATTATTATTGATGTATATTAACAATTTTGCCTCTACAATCATCAACTTGCAACGCTCTGTGACTAGAAAACAACACTCCAAAAAAGGAACCATAAGAATCTAACACAAAGGCATGGGCTCCACCCCATAGTGCCAATTTGCGATCTTGGGTCCTACAGAAGTTAAGGCCAGCCACTCAAACACCCTAGTGGTAAATCCGTAAAATATTCGAGTATTTATGGGCTTTTATTGTTTCTCATGGCACCGAGGAAAAATCCCCCGTTTCCCATGTGTCAACTTCTTATTGTTTCTTAATGAGTCGCCACCCAATGCCAGTCGTAGGGAATGTGACTCACGTGATGGTATTGAATCTGGACCGTCTATGGGTGCTATGAAATTAATCTAGCGGGTCTTATCATGTTAATATTTGTTTTTACCTTATAATTTGGTTTTTTACTTTTTTTTTTATCTAAAAACGTTAAGGTAATATTATTTTTAAAATAAAAAGCAAGGGGTAATGCTGGTATTTTTTAAAATATTTTTAATGGTTTTTACATTAAATATGAAAAATAAAATAATTAATTAATTGAAAAATACATTGTACTGTGATGCAAAGCACATGTAGTGTTTGTTATTATAATAATAATTTTCTTTTTTAAAAAATCATATATTAATATATTAAAAATAATATATTTTTTATTTTTATATTAATATATCAAAATAATATAAAAAATTAATTTTTTTAAAAATCAAAATTTAATAGTGCCATATAGTATAATGGAATGTCAACCGCGTACTTATCTCCGTCCCGCGTACATATACGGAGAGTACGTAAGAGCTTGTTTGATAAGTAAGAACGTGGGGACTTGATTTTGCTTATTAAAACTAAATTGATTCTCTATTGATGTTTGGTAACAATACTATTTTAGAGATACAATTTTAGACTTGGTAACAATACTATTTTAGAGATACAAGAGCAGTCAAAGACTATTCAGCAAGTATTTTTACTATTACCTTCATTATCTGCACTACCTGCATCACTTATTCTATGCTGGTAAATATTATACTGCAAAAAAATAATATTCTTGACTGGAGGATCAATAAATAATCCAATAAAATAGAGTTAAATTAATGCATATATATTTTTTAAAGAAAAAAATATATTGAATTTGCATTTCAAACTAAAAATTCACAGAATAAATATACAGTAAAATATCATAGAAAAAAACACGAGTGACCTACACATAAATTCAAAAAGGTCCACAAATTATTTTTTAAAATTTTATGATATAAAAAAGAGGTTCATTTCATCGAACATCAAAACAAAAATAAAATAAAATAAAATAAATTAGACCGGATGGGCCTAAGACCCGAACCCAAATTTTTGCTTTCTCCAAGAAGGCCCAGCCCATTCACTGCCCAAGTGAGTAACCGGTTGGGCAGCATGCAAGAATACTGCGTGTACAGTGATAAGTTAATTAAAATTCAAAGTGCAGATTTAAGTGAATTGAAATTGTAAGACCGGGGAAGAGAAGAGACTTACCTGGTAGTTCTGGAGATGAAGACGTGATGGAGGACTGCTCGACTAGTTACTTTCACCTCTGTTCTTGCTTTTCTCTGATCGGTTTCTTCCTGTTCGTCCCCAGTTCTGCGTGTGTTTCGTTCTCCTGTGGCCTTCTGTTTTTGCTCGTCTTCTCTGTATTATCTCTGTTCTTGCTTCTGCTTTTCCTGGGTTTTTTTTGTTCGTTCGTCCTCTCTGCGTTTGCTTGTTTTTCCCCTGCTTTTTTCCCCCAGTTCGTGCCTACTGGGGTGTTCTGTTCGTGGGTTTTCTCTGTTCTTTTCGTTCTCTCCGTTCGTCCTCTGGTTCTCTCGGTTTGCTCTCAGTCCCCTGGTCTTCCTCCTCTTCGTCCTTAGTTCGTCCTGATAGGCTTATAGACCCAATTGAACATATATAAAACATAAAATATGTTTTGAGGATAGACATAGATGTGGTCCCATAATTTTGATCTCAAATCTATTATTGGCTTTTAGAATCTTTGTACAAAGCTCATAGCCTAGTTTAGAATAAACATCCAAGGCAGGAAAAGCCCTATCCTGGTGCAAGGGTACCGAACCACCTAATACAAAGGGTATCACTACAAAATTTAAGATTCATCTTGGATAGTTGCTTGTCCATTTCAGGAACCACTTTGGCTAATAAAACAAGAGAGTCGAATAATTCTAACATGATGAGTTGCTAAAACAAAATCATTATATCTCAAACTAAGCACGTTGAAACATGAGGTACCTAGTAAGGAATGAAATTTGAGGCCTTTATAAATTCCACTGGACTAGTTAGTCACACATCCTCTCAGACTCACACCTTGTATCCCTATTGACAAATAGAGGTTAGTCTTAAATAGAGATTGTATTACTAAAAAAATACTTACCCTGGAAAACACTTATATCCCAAAATAATCATTGCACCCTTGGATATATATGCCTTGAAGAAATAAGCCTGAATGAGGTTACTCCTAAAAACACATACTTGGACAAGCACACCTGATCCAAAATTGCTCTACCCATTTACCGTATAGTTGGTAGGAAACAATAATTACTCATACAACTTTCTACCTCTGGATAATCACTTAGTATTACCATTCTTACTCTAATACTATACCTTCAATAATTAGACCCTATTACCTTAAATGATAATCCTTAAACTAGAAAAGATATTATTCTCCCTAGTTTTCTCTCACTCAATATAAGTTTTCTTTTAACAGTTGAAACTTTTATATTAGAATGATTTTTAAATTTAGTATTATAATCTTACTGACAAAGCAATCAAAAACTTGATTCTCACTATCTTTTTATCTCTAACTAAATTTTAAAGAATAAGCATAGGGTAATGGTGAGTATCTGTAAGTTTTAATTCTAACAAACTTGTAATTAATAGGGGGCACAACACATTAATATGAAAAAATTCATTGAGATTCAACCATTAGTTTAAAGTTTTGAGTTAAGATATTTTTTTATAATACCAATATAGTAAAAATAAATAATAGTTGAATAAAAAATTCAAAAAATATAAACACCAAGAATTTTCATAATTAATTTAACAGGAATAGGAATTATAATTATGAAATAAACTAAAAACACTACAGGTTTTACTATTTCAATTACAATAGATCCTCTCATATGTTTATTATGGATTGATACAGTGCATCTATAATGTCTTTTTAATAAAAATATTTGATTTAATTCTTGAAATTTTAATTTTTATGTATATTTCATTGTAGTATTTAATTTTGACAGTTCAATCCTAACAAATCCATTTTCATTATGTTTAAGTCCTTTGACCTTAAGAAATGAGAGAAAAAGTAATCGAAAGGGGGATGAGAGGAACATTTTGGCTAGCCATATTCGGACAAAAAAAAGAGAGCTAATAATGGTGTCATTGGGCCATCTAAAATATAGGAATTCAAAACATATGTTTTAGACATTTAATCATATTAGAAAATGTAGATTAGAACCATAGAGTTTGTTTTGATTTTGAGTTTTTAGACTAATTAAGGGGTATTATGGAGCTAAAAAGTGAGTTATTAAATTTTCTAAAAATTTTTCTAATGATTTTGAGTTTTAAGACTAATGTTTTTAGGTGAAAAAATTTTGGTTTTAGGCTCCACATTACTCAAATTTTTATTTTATTTTTTGATAGTGGATAAGATGTCACAATTTGAAACCCATTTATTAAAAAAACTAAAGTGGATAATGTGTTTTTTGCTTGAGTTTTTTTAAAAGACAAACATATTAGACAATCCGTTTATGCAAGTCTACATGCATGAGCTTGACTCTACTCATTCTTTTTTCTTCTTGTTTTTATATTATTTTATATTCTAAAAGATAAATTATTTTCATATAAAACAATAAAAAAGATATTTTTAAAATTATATGATGGTATCATACTTTTCAAATAAAATTATAATCTTTTAAGGTTAATGTCACTATAGGAAAATTCAAACAAAGTAATGGAAATACCAACAAAAAATATTCCATCACAATTTACCAATGGAAAATGTGATGGGAATTTTTTGTTAGTAATTTCATATGGAAACAACAACAAAATAAAAAAAAAATATGTTAGCATTTCTAACATGTCAAAATCACCTGCGAAAATGCCAACAAAAATTTCATTTGAGATTTTAAAAGAAAAATTTAATAATTCTAATTCAAACACAACCTGGATAAATAATTTTATCTTTTTAAAAGAAATAAAGATGAAACCTCCACCTTTCTTTCTCTCCCTGAAACCTCCACCCACCTCTATAAATTAAGCCACCAAAACTTTTCAACACTGGTGCAACAACTCTCCTATGACCTAAACTTCCTTTTCTTGGTTCTTTTCTTGTCAAGCTTCATTCCACAAAATAAGCATACCCACATATCTATGTTTTAAGTAAATCGATGGAAATCTATTTATAATATTTGTAATATATATATGTGTGTGTGTATGTTTTATGTAGTAATGTAGAATTTGTATTTTAGGGTTTATTTGAGATTTGATAAATAAATTTAATTTGTTACCTGATGAAATTGAGTGTGATTTTGTATCTTAGATGTCTTAGGATTGAAGAAATGATAGGTAATTTAATGAGTGCAAATTATTTTTTTAATTAATCTCATGGTTAAATTGAAAATTTAGGGATAATTGAATTTGCATGGAATTGATAATAATTAAAGGTAGTAATTTAAGTTGAATAAGTTTGAATTAAAGAAATAATGGATAATTAGTTGAGTTTCAATTAATTCAATTTGATATAGGTTTTTGTTGATGATCTAGGGAAAATAAAATTAATGTGTAATTGATAATAATTAGGTATTAATTGATGTTATTTATTCTTGAATTGAATAAATAATAGATAGTTAGTTGGGTATCAATTATTGTTTTGACAATTTTATGGTTTAGTTGAAATTTTAGGAAAAAATAAATTTGTGGAATTGATAAAAATTAGGGTTAAGTATATTTCAACATATAAAAGATTGATAGTTATTGGATTATGAATTATATTTTTCTAAATCGGAGGAATTGAGTTACTCTGGGATTTAAAAAATGATGGATTATTAACTTGTTATTGTCTTGTCCAAAAACAAATAATTATTGCAATTGTGAAATATCAATTGGTTTGTTTAGGTTAATTGTGATTTATTTTTAATAAAAAAAAATGAGTTCTAAATTTCACCAAAAAATTAATTTTTTTATTGTTATGTTTTATTATCATTTTAGTATTTGTAAGTTATTAGTTCTAAATTTTACTTTACATAATGGTTTGTTATTTCTCTTCCCTAATGTGTTTGGTTGATTGTATTAGGGTAATAATCTTCTTGTTATTTATAGTTATTAGATAATTTTGTTGTATGTTTTTTTAATTTTGAAACTACTCATTTCATCATATTTATAATAAAATGGTCATTTGAATAACTATTATTTCAATGAGTTAGCTTCATGACTATCTTGAATATATATATATAGTGGATGTTTAATGAGAAAAATTTTAATGTTAGATAAATAATCTTAAATTCGAGTAACTATTTTTTTTAAATTATAAAAACTAATTCATCAATTAAATCAATTAAGAACACATTTTGGTGGAAAGAAAGCAACGAGGTACTTGTAAGGAGAGTATGGAAAAACCACAGTTTGACTAGGTAAGTTTAAAAAATCAATGTTCAATATATTCTTATAATTAAGTGTTATGTTAAATTTATATTATTATAAACCTGTATTATTTTATTTTAATTTCTTACTAAATTTCTATATAATAAATTTAAATTATATATGAATTAACTATTGGTTGTACTAGGTTGTGAAATGTTTTTGTACAATGAAGAAGGTCGTGTCACTTGACATGGAGAAGTGGTAAAAGTATAAACTAAAGTATATTATAGACCTTAATTGGATAATGTATCTTGGATTTATGACATCATAAAATTTTATAAAATGTTTAAGATCCAGTAAATGAAATCTAAATAAACAAACTTATGTTTCGATGAGCAAGCAAACTAGAGGAGCAATTTTGTTTATCCACCATGCAAAACATCTAGTAAGAGTTCATTGTGACACACACATATAATTTTACTTATGTGTTTATTAGTGACATTTTTAACAAACTATATAATTTTTAGGAAAAAAAGGTTTGTCGAAAGCCAACCCTAATGGAGTTATATGAGAAAACTCATATTAATGAAGCTGATAGGGGGAAGAAGAGAAAACATTTGTCGATAAAAGAGTAGATGCATTCATTATAAGTTTTTTGATAGTTATATTTCATTTAAGATTATTTATTTACATTAATAATGTGAAATATAATTGAATTTTAAAACTTGATTTTTTTTATAGGAGAGATATAATGCCAATATGGTTGAGAAATCTGATGAAACAATTTCCACCCATCATCCTCAACATTCTCAAGTGTGGTTATAGACTACTAAATGATGGACCTAATAGAAATTGAATATATAGTTTGTCTATAACATCAATCCAAGATTTGATGGAGGGTTGTGCTATTTCAACTCTAGACACACCATATGTCGACCCAAGTTATACATTCATCATGGGAATTTGATTAGATTGTGCATAAAAAGGTTTAGGAACAAGTGGTTGTTGAGTTAAAGAAAATGAGTGCATAATTGCTATAATAAAGTAGGATGTTTAGGCTCAATAAAGTGTAATTATTGGTGTACCTTTTTCTCTTTCTCTTGAACTTTCGACATCTTTGATTTGATGTATTAAATATATTTCTCCTTGTTGATTTGATTATATTTCAATTGAAATTTAAATGGTTTCCTACCAATATTTTTTGTTGTTTCTATTTTTGTTAATGTTTATGTATGAAAATTTTTATATCTCATTTTTGTGTACTATTCATATAATTTCCTACTTAAATCTTCCAACTATGAAATCACATAAGTATTTGTTATTCATTTAATATTATATATTGCAAAATTTGTACAAGTCAACTTTTAGAGATGTTTTTTTGTTATTGTGAGCATTTGTTAGATTGAGGATCATAACAAATAAAATAAAAAAAATTAAAAACTCCAACAGAATTATTAATGGAATCAATATTCCATCGGCATTTATGTTGGCAATTCGATTTGAATGTTTGTGAACATTCTTGAATTTTTGGTAAAACTTATAGAATATATAAGAACTTTTCAACAAAGTCGCTAATGGAATATTCAATAAAAAAAAATAAATGGTGATGGAATTAATGATAGCTTTCAAGTTTTTATTTTTTTTTTATTTCATTGGCAATTTCCAATTCCAACATATTTTTTGATGAAAAATGGGTAGTAAAAGCTGATTTTTAGGTGTAAATATTCTATTAATGATTCTATCAGTACATAAAATTACCAATAAAATTACAGATAAAATAAAAAATATAACAAGTTAGTTTTGGATGATAAAAAATATAACAAGTTAGTTTTGGATGATAGTATCCCATCATTTTTTTTATTAGTAATTGTCAATAACAACAAAATCTTCTCTATATATCGACAAAATATTTCATTTGTATTTTTCAATTCTTTTTAGTGTGTTAGGAATTACTTTATAAATAACTATATATAAAACTAATATGCATGATATTCTTAAAATTTATAACGAATATTCAATCTAAGTAAAATGCATAATTTTTTCTTAAGAAAAAATTACATTAAAAATTCTATGTTTTAATTGCGATTTCACTTTCCTTTTATATTTTGAAAAGTTATACTCTATATATTATTGTTTACATAATTGATATCAATTTTAATACCATGTTAGAAAATTTGAAACTCAATAAAAAGAATAGTCTAAAATATTACAAGTTTGTTACTATAATTTACGCAATGTCAAAAGTGTCCTTATAACTGAAATATTAGAAATTCGCAACTCCACTCTAAAATAGTGAATATCTTCTCTTTTGAAGAATAAGAGATAGAGTGTACAGTGTAGAAAAAATTATAATGAACCTAAATACAGGGATCATTCCTCCTTTCTCTTGTTTACGATGACGTTTCGGGTATAATATTTCATGCACTTTCGATGAATCACAAAAAAAAATAAAAAATCCGAACAAATTTAAACTGAAATATTGACACCAAAAAAGAAAATAAAAGAAAACACCGAACTAGTACACTAATCATGAGATTCCATGTTAAAATGAAAAGGAAAGAATATATAAGAAAATCAATTCTGAAGGAGAAACGTATATATGTGTTCCTGTAAATTAGTGTAAACTGAGAGAGAAGGGATAGATGACGAAGAAGACCAGTTTCCTGCATGCAGAAGTGCTTTCCCTCCCAATAATTAGACAGAATTAAGAGACTTGGGCATACCGAGAGGTTTCTGAAGAGACTTGGGCATATCGAGAGGTTTCTGAAGCTCTAAGAAACAAAATCCTTAGGTAATTAGGTTTCTTTGCTTTTCTCTCTTTTTTGAATAGAGACTGTGATGAACGACCAACACATTGGCATCCAGTAAGGTTGTTTTAATAATCCTTTTATCATACCTCTTTTTTCTATGCTTTTTTATTCAGTTTTGCAATTGCTTGCTTCCAGTTCTTGTGCTTAGATACTCGGTTTCCTGATTAAGTTACATATTCCCTGATCTTTTGTTTGCGGATTCGATTTTTATCCTTTTTTTTTTTTGCATGATGATTTTTTGTTTTAAGCACTATAGTGTTTCCTAGTAGATAGAATTAACACAAAATCATTAATAGAAAATTGAAAAACATTGATAGAATATTCTGACAATCAGTGTATAAGAAAAATTTCTGTCAGCAATTTAAATACTAACATAATTTCCAAGAACATGCCATCAACAAGTTTCTCGTCAAAGATTTGGGTTTTATCTATGATTTTGTCATAATTTTTTTTTTTTCTGATAGAATAAAAGATGAAATATTCAGGCTAAAAATTTAGATTTTATCACTCATTTTCCATCAAGAAGTCCATAAAAAAAGTAGTAAATATTACTCAATTCTTATAAAATTCATAATTGCTCCGGCCTCCGACCACCAATGAGGATTGTGAGGAGGATGGTTATAATTGTCTTCATGTTTAGCAACCATGTTGGCCTTATATGTATATCAAAAAAAAAAAATCAAAATACAATTAAACCTTAAAAAAAAAACATAAGTAATACAATTGTAACTATTTAAAAATACTTACAATGAACTCTTTCACTCTATTATCAATAAACCTTTTTACACTTTTTGCTTATTCTCTTTTTTTATATGAGTTTTTTTATATAACTCCATTAGAGCATGTTCATACTAAAACTTTTTTTCCTATACAATACATAGTTTGTAAAAAAGTCATACAAATAAAAACTAAATTAATAATTAAAGAAGAAATAATTAAATATATAGCAATGCTCTTATTAGGCTATTTGCATGGTTCACCAAGAAAAGTGCTCCTCAAGTGTGCATGCTTATTAAACTATGAGTTTTTTTCCTTTTGTTTTGAGATTTAGATTGTGAGCACTTTTTAAAACCATATGATGCCAAAAATTCTTAAAACTTAGCCTAATTATCCTTTATAACGTGTCAGTAAAATTTTTCCACAATGCTATGTCATTAAAGTTAGCTCTATTCATTGCATATTTAGGGAACCATACCACAAATCACACAAATTAATATAGTAATTTGATAAACAAAATTAAGATAAGGAAACTAAATATTATAGTTTTACAATAATATAATTGTTTTTTGCATTATACTTACCTAATTACAATGTGGTTTTCCACACATTCCTAACAAACTCCTCATTTTTCTAGTAATTTTTTTTCTTTACAGTCATTTCATATATTAGTTATTTTTAAAAAAATTTAAAAATTATATATTAACTCAAAGTATATATTATTTATTTAACCTTTAACTTTACCCCTAAATATTTACTATATTCATACATTTAGAATGATCTTAAAATTGATTTCATTGAAACAATGACTTTTTTTAAAAAATTTAAATATAATTATATTAAAACGAGAAACTATAAAAAAAAACACACGAAAATATATACCTAAGATGTATATTATCTTGTAACCCAAATCCAATTGACCTTGGATACCAAGAAAAAATACTAAAGCTAAATAAAACTAAAAATTTCAGAAAATAATAAAAAATCAATTCATTAAGTCATTTTTATTTAATGCAAAACTTAAAATAATCTATTACAAATAAATAACTTCAATGGTGAGAAAAAAACATACTTACATTGTGTCGTTGGCTTTAAGTTTTCTTGATACAGTGTCTCTAGAAGAAGGGATTCTAGCTTTGCTGAATGCATTGGATGAGCTTTAGTGGAGGCGGTAATGTTTTTGCAAATGGTGTTGGGATTTGGGCTGAAGTCGAGGTTTGATGAGGAGTTCTTGAGAAAGCTTGTGGCAGAGAATGCATCAAGGAGGGATATAGCGAAGCTTGCAGCTGCTATTGGAGAGAAAATGGGAGGTAAGTAGGATGTTAATTTGATCAGTGGGTTATTTGTTCTTCAGTGATCATTGCTGTTCTGTGTGGTCTGTTCATAAGAATGTCAGTGACATTTGTTGCAAGGTTTTTCTGTTCAACTCGCTACTATTTTGTACTTTTGGGCGTTGCCTTTTGTTCTATACCTTTTTTGTTTGTGAGATTCATTGTTGTAAATGAGATCATTGCATAATTAGTTGGCATCAAAGGACATAATAATCTCTCTCTTTGTGTGATTGATAGATATGATACTGTGAATCTGAAAGGGCACAGCTTTAGTATCTCCAAATGCTATGTAAATTATGCCAAAAACGCTTTATTCTGTTTCTAAAGAACTCGAGGCTAAAGCTCTAAGAGTTGACGTGCCTATGTTCAAAATCGTTTTAAAATGACCTGCATTATTGCATTTTTGTTCCACTAGAAATTGTTTCTGATGTTTTTGACATTTACAAATAATGCAAGGTCCTATCCTGGTACTACTACATCTGCTTGGTGTGGCCTTGTTAAGTTAATTGGGTATTTGCATAATGTTTCCAGGCTGATGCTTTTGAAAGCCGGCGTGGACAATCTTATGGCATTGATATCACCTGGAAAGTGATAATTTATTTAAATAAAACAGACTTTACCAAGGTGATGGAAACAATGCTATACTGCCCTGACAAATAAATGCATAAATGACATGCGAGAGTGTTGAACTGGTTTTGCTTACATCATTGTGCGTAGAAATGCTTATTTCCTTTTCTGAAGAATGTTCTTTGTACGCTTAATTGAACTAGACTCTCTAAGTGTTCAATGGTTCTCATCAACCATTTGTGAAAGAAAGAAAGAAAAAAGTCTGTTAATTTTATTGGTTTCCCATTCCAACAGGGGCTGGTTCCCCTTTAAATTGTGCATGCAACTTTGTTAGCAAACCTCTTATTTTGGTAGGCAGAGTTTATCTGTGTTGTGACTTCGGATAATAACAATGACTGATTTGGTCAATCTCTCAAAAAGTTTTCTGTATTCCCGGGAGTAATAATCCTAATCATCATCTAAGGTTAGTTGACAGAATATCTTTCTTGCTTATTTCTTAGTTCATATGAACAAAACCTGCCTCGTTCCTCCCCTTATGAGAGGTAGTTAAGTAGTGTATGAGCCTTAGTACGGGTTTCAAGATATGACTTATCACTGTGTATATGTCTGTAGTTAGTTTAGCTGAGAGTTCAAACAAGTGTTTATGGTGTTCAACTTTTTTCAATCATAATTTGTTTTGAACATCACCTTATTCTCGTCTGTCACATCTGATTTTGATATATTGTTCTATAATCACTTTTTCAGTAATCTTTTTCAATCATAATTTGTTTTGCAGATATAATTGATGAATTGGTGAAGAATGGGAAAGAGATAGAGGCTGTATATTTTGCTTCTGAATCTGGTTTGACGAAAAGATTTTCTCCTGTATCTCTACTCAAGTCATATCTTAAGAATTTCAAGAAGATCACAACTACTGTCTTGAAGAATAGCAATTATAATGCAGCTGCAACGGTGTGTCTAATCTCTATCTATATCGTGTAATTCTAATGACATGAAATATTTGAGTCTGCAAGATTCTTAGTAATTTTTTTGCAGGATGAGTCAAGTACCTTGGAGTTGAATTCTATTAAAGCAATCATCAAATGTGTGGAAGATCATAATCTTGAATCAGAATTTTCCCTTGACAGCTTGGGAAAACGGGCTTCTCTGCTTGAAAAAACCAAAGCAGAGAGGAAGAGGGGTACGTCAGCTGCCACTGCTACCCAGTCTCGAAACAAGCGAGGCCATGGTTCAAGTGGTGCCCGGGACAGTGGACCTACTCCTTATCGTAAAGCCAAAGCTGCCAAATTTTCAAACAATTATTCCTCTTTCAGCCGCAGGAATGCTGCTCCCCCTGCTAAGCTTACAATTATCCCTCTTCCCGCCGCCGGAATGCTGCTCCCCCTGCACAGCTTTTTTTTTTTCTCCCCAAATTTTGGTTAATCAAACCAATATCATTTGCTGCTTGCACTTTTTTAGGTGTAGTATCTTCTTATTAGAAGGAAGAAATGAATAACAAGGAACATATTAATTAAAGAATTCATTGATCTATTATCAATTAATAGATTGGCATGCTTAATTTGTTAAAATCATTACAATTTAGTAATCATGCTAAAAATCCAATTTAGTAAAAACATTGGCTATAATTGGTAACATTTAGTTATTTAATTGATAGACGTCATTCTTTTGGCCACAAAAGGTCTGAAAATAACTCACAAACATTGACGCCGATAGAGAATCTATAAAATGGCTAATCATCATCTAATTCTCTATATAAACGAAGAACTATACAAATGGATAGAACAATAATGTTCCCTTATAGTTCATAATATTGCCACCTTTCTAAATGTCATTATCTCTATCAGCACAACCTCATAGTCAAAATTTTTGGGCCTAATGACAAGATTAGATGGTAATTAAAAATTTGACTAAACTCTAATTAGATAATAGTGCCTCATAAAGATATATTCTTTTATCACAAGTTAAATCTATTTAATGCTAATTTGAGGATTATCTTGCTGGAAATAAAAAACACAACTAACACAACTTACCATATTGTAATGTTAGGAAGTTTTCAGCCACATCCTAATTATCACATGTCCACACAACTTACACAATAATAATATTAACATAATTTAGGTAAAATCTTCCAAGAGATGAGTTAATGTTCAATTTTACGACAAAATATTCTATTTTATTAGTTTAGAGCAATTAAGATTTTTAGGACTAAAATTGGATCTTTGAAAACTTATGAACACCTTCAATTGTATCCTACTGAGGATTAGTTTCTAAATTTAGTTGTTATTTTTTATTTTAACTTGTTCCTTCTATATTTTTTAAAAAAATTAACTTGATAGTTTCTATTCTTAGATATAAGGGTCCTACAATATTAAGGAAAAGGTGATGCCCAATTTATCAAAATATGTTTAAATGAAGTTGATTTAAAGCAATTAGAGCTTAAGGGACCAAATTTGATTATGAAAAAAAATGGAGGACTAAAATTAATGGGAACAATTAAAAAACACAGCAGCTTTGGTGGTGCATGCAACCTTTTTTAGCGGCCAACCTACCATTCAATGGTGGCGATCGATGCATTTTAGAATTCTTTCCCTGCAGGGGTAGCACATCTATTCTCATTCATGGTGGTGTGTTATTGGTGTTATTTTTTTTTCCCATATTTTCTCTCTCTTTTCTTTGAAATTCATGCTAGGCATTTTAAATTTCAAGATGTTCCTTTTTTTATTACTAAGTTTTTGTTCTAGATCTTTTTCTAAAATGTAAAATTGTTTTTAATTTTATCATTCAATAAAAAATAGCAACCTGTTCTTTTATTTTATTTTTCAAATTTGGTTCACATTTTTTTAATTTCTATTTTTATTTTTTGATCCTATAGTGAAATTAAATTTTCCTTTCAATTTCATCCTCTAATTTATTTTTATTTTTCATTTTATTCTTATTCTTTTGGTTGCTTTTTTTTAGAGCCTTTTGTAAAATTAATTTTTTTTAATTTAATTCTTCTGCATAAGGTTAGTAAGGAATTGGACTCCATGTTTTTTCTTGATGGGATGATCATGGTTTCATGAACCAAGTCATATATTTTAAGAATTAACTTGGGTTAACATTGTTTTTTTATTTATTGAGTTTTTATCTACACAATTTTTATTTTTTATTTTCATCCTTTAATTTTCTTTCTTTTTCAAAAAATTAGGTTTTATGAATTTTTTAATTTTTTTTAATTCAGTTATTCTGATTTCATTACTAAAACCATGGGCTTGATAGGGTTGCTCATGCATCTCAACATTCTTTTCTTACAGGGGTGGTATATGTATTCTCATTTTTTGTGGTGTGTCAATAGTATTATTTTCTTTATTATTTTCTTATTTCCACTCTTTTATCCTTAAAATTCATGCTAGCCATTTTAAATTTCATACTTATCCTCTTATTTTATTGTTATTTCAAATTTGATCATTTTTCTTTTAATTACAAAGTTTTTATTCTAGGTCCTTTTTAAAATTTAAAAATTATTTTTAATTTTATCATTCAATAAAAATTGCAAGATGTCCTTTTATTTTATTTTTCAATTTGGTCCATATTATTTTTTAATTCCTCTTTTTAATTTTTGATCTTTTAGTAAAATTAAATTGTCCTTTTAATTTCACAATTCAATTCAAAAATGTCAAATCTCCTTTATTTTTATTTTTATTTTACTTTTCTCATCATTCTTGTGGTTGCTATTTTTTTTATTATTTTACAGCCTTTTATAAAATAATTTTTTTAATTTAATCTTTCGCATGGTGTTGTTTAGGAATTGAATTTCATATTTTTTGTTTATAGGGTAATCATGGTTTCATGAACCAATTAACTTGAGTTAACATTGTTTATTTATTTATTGGGGTTTATTTTTCTTAAAACAATTTTTCTTTTTCTTCTTCATCCTTCAATTTCTTTTTTAAAATTGATCTTCATGATTTTTTTTATTTTCTTTCAATTCAATTTCCTGATTTCATTATCAGGATCACAAGTTTGATGGATTTTTTTGAGTAATTAATTTTTTAATTTAAAATTTTATTAGTTTTATCCTTGAACATTTGGTTCCTTTAGAATTAAGTTTTGTGATTTTTTCTAATTTGTTTTCTATTAAGTTATTTCATTCTCATAATCAAGATCACAAGACTTGGTAGGGTTGTTGAGTTTGTTGGTGTTTTTTTTTGTCATTCTTTTAAATTGATTTCCTTTTGATTTTATTTTTCTATATTTGATTTTTTAGAAATAAGGTTTTATTATTTTTTTTATTTACTTTTTATATGCTTATTCCAGTCTAATAAACCGATTTGCAGCTTTTGTATGTATACTTGTATTGATTTAGGTTTTTTTTCTTTTTAATTTCTTCAATTTTAATCTTTCATGTTAGGCTTGCTGGAACAAAGTTTTTATACTTTTTTGTTTTGTTTTTGTAGATGTTTTTTATAACTTCTCATTAAAACTTTTTTTTGTTTGATTTAATCTATAATCTGTTTACCGTTGTTTTTTTTATCATTTAATTAAATATTATCAGCCTATTTGACTTTGTCACAAAGATTTTTAACTTTTTTAGAGCGCAATTGCAATATTCGGACAATTTTATCAGCTAATTTTTTTTTTCATTTAAGTTGTGGCGTAGCGTTGGGCTATGGATTTAGTAATCACTACCACTTGTTTAATTAGGATCAGTGAAAACTCATTTTTAGTCCTCACTTCTTCTTGTTTATTGTTTAATAAAAGTAGTTCATTCCTTGAATTATAACGAAACTATTTTATAATTATGCAAATAAATTTTTTTGCCTTTTTCTTGTTATATAGTAAGTATGATATTTAATCTATTTTTGTGTAACATAGTTAAGCCATTATTTGTTAATTATTTTTTTTTCTTAATTTGTTCTATATGCTCTAGCTGTCTATTATTTTTTATCATTTAATTAAAATAAAATAGATTAATTTAATCTAATTCTCGTCTATAACTAACTTGAGTCCAACCCCACATCATAGCTGAGGTGCACGACTAGTACATACTATTTATCAAAAACGTATGCGATTAGTTGTTGTCAAACTATTTACTGCTAAGAATTCGAGAGTCAAGTATCCTGCAAGATGAAAGAACTCTGAAAAGACACACCAGAGACATGCATGTTCTGCATTACATATAACCAAAGTCGTTACAAGAGAGAAGAGAAAGAGCCTAACATCTATTTGTTACAAATTACATGAGATTTAAATACAAGATAAAATGCCCTCCCGTTTGCAAGCTATCCAGTTTGAACTGGATGTGATCCTATTCTCTTCCCATAAGAGAGGTCCGTACATCCTCCCTCCTTTTCATTCGAGCCTCAATTTAAAGGTATTATTACAACACAGGAAAGACAATATTGAATTTGCAGTTGAAACCATCATTCTATAGGAATAAACTAATTGGGTAAAAAGAAGACAGGCTTGGAATGTGATGATGGTTGTGAAAAATCCATTACGTTCTTGCACCGTGATTGTCAGGATGAATGTAAATGCTAAACCCAAGCAGAGAAGGGAGTAAAAATTAAGAAATGTCGCCAACTCCATGTTACATGTTACATGACTGGCACGACCTAATGATATCCGACAAAGGATTATAGCGGCGATGAGGGAGAAATTCATAGCTAGCATGTCAAAAAAAATATAAGCTCTCATCAGATTTTTTGAACTACCACTGTTAAAATCAGAACCTGATCCAGGCACAGTGATAGCACCAGCGAAGGTTACTCCAGCTACCAGTACTGCCACCACGAGAAGATTCCCTACCCGTCTGTTCAGTTCCTCCGTCGTTAACGTCGTTCTTGGTGAATCAAAGATAAGATTGTTGTCAAACTCAGTCTTATCATCTGCCTCCACCAAAACTTTTAATACCTCACGCTGAACAACAAAGTGTTAATTAGAAAATATATGGTAAACAAATTATATAAAGCATCATGACAATGTTAGCTTAATATCCCATAATAACGAAGAAGTAATTCATCGCTATTTAGTAGATCAGTGAGAGATATCCCATATATTTTAGCAAGTAAATAACTTTATCTCCATTTTCGATAAAATGTGGATGTGAAAGTTTTTGCTATACAAGAATATATTTGTTTCCATCACTTGATTAGCTTCTTATGTGGACCCCAACGGCTAGAATACAAAGTAATTTGACTTTAATACCATCTAAAGTGAAATGTGCATGGTTCTTCAAATGGCAAACCAAAACCATCTGGCAATGGTGGATTTTTAAGAGATCATGAAGGAAATGTTTTGTGTCTTCTCTTGTTCTACGGGTATAAAAAAATTAAATGTGGCAATTGACAATTAAAAAGCTTTTCAAGTGAGTATTGATTGTTCCTATGTACTTACTAGAAGCTGGATTGTGGAGTGTAATACCATTACATTGGTCAAAAGCCACAATATCATAAGATCACGACACTTACAAGATAAATTCAATAACATTTTAAATTCTTGTAGTATCCACATTTTTCTGAACTTTGCACATAGTCAGTGTTAGTGACATGAATCATGTCACAGATTATTTGGCAAAGCAAGGAATACATATAGAAACAGATTTAATTACATGGTTTTAGTTTTTATTAATTTTAAAGTCACTATCAGAAAATTAATAAATATAAACGGAAATATTGAAGGAATATTTTTATTGGTAAATTGCCGATGGATTTTATCATCGAAAATTAAAATAAAGAAAAAAAAACGATTACATACTATTTTTACCAAATGAATTACCGATAAAATAAATTCTTTCGGTAAATTTGTTGGTAAACTGTGAATATTGTTCATCATGTCTATTTCAAAGGGAATCACTAACAAAAAATTCCGTCGGTATTTTCTAAAGAACTCTAAAACTGTTCACTTTCCAATTGCAGTATTAATTAATGTTCTTTACGGATAAAATCACCGATGGAATGAAAAGTCATTAGTGTTATTTGGTGATTTTCTGAAATTTTTTTATTAAATTAAATATTACAGGCGGAATCACTGATGAATTGAAAAGTTATCGGTGATATTTGACGGTTTCTGAAATTTTTTAATTAAATTAAAATTTTAAATTAAATATCACAGACGAAATCACCGTCAGAATGATTAAAAATATTAATATTTAATTATCCGTCGGTAAAACGCCCAATAAAAAGTCTAGAATTCCTAATTTCACAACAAACGATGCTTTCTTCTTCTTCTTCTTCTTCTTCTTCCCCATATGTAAAAAACATGAATATCCATTTCTTTCTCTCCTCTCCTCTCCTCAACTCTTTCTCTTCTTCTCCTTGCCCAGGTATGTATTCTTCTCCTTTCTTCCCAGCTTTTTTTAATTAATATACTTTATGAATTTTTTTTCTTTTCTTAGCTTCACCTGCAACGACATTAAGTTTTTTCTTTTTTTTCTTTTTTCATGTTTTTTTCACTATATTTGTTTTTTTATTTTATTTTTAATTATTTTGTTTTTAATAATTGTATGAACATTGTTGTAGGATTTTTTTCATATGATTTTATTCTTCTTTTCAAGTGTTTTGAGTATTATAGAGTGTTGATTTATATTAATTTAATTATTTTATAGTTTTGTAAAATGAATTTTTTAAAAATATTTTTAAATAATTACCAATGGAATTACATACAGTATTTTTCCAAGGGAAATATCATCGGAATGAAACGGATAAATTTTTCTTGCGCGCCTTTTCCGTTAGTAAATCCATCAGTAAAAATATTTTTTTATTACTAACGGATAAAAAATTACCGACGAAAGATTTACTAAATGAGCATTTCTGTCGGTGATTTTGTTGGTAAATTAATTATCAATGAAATGATAGTAGAAATACCGATGGAAAATTCTGTCAGTAAAACTAAAGATTGTGATAGTGAGTTTGGTTTATGTTATGGCTTTGTGGGTTAATAGAACATTATTTTTTGTTTTTGTAGTTTTATTTGGTTTGTAAAGTACCTAATACGTTTGTTTTTTGTTCTTCTTTATCTCTCTATATGACCATTATCTTATTGGCTATGAGATTTTAATGAAGTTCTCGTCTTTTATTATCAAAAAATCATCTCAATCTAAAAACTTAAACTGTTAGGTGAGATTCTAGAATATGATTTATATTATTTTTTAATACACCCCTACAAGTGAAAGTCATTTGAACTTGAAACTTACAAAGACCCATTTTACCCTGTACTTAATTCTTATCAATTAAATGAAGATGGTGAGATTTGAACTCGTGACCGCTTGATTATCATAACTATGATATCATGTCAACGAACCATCTCAACCTAAAAGCTTAAACTTTTAAGTAAGATCCCAGAATATAATTTATATTATTCTCTAATATTTATAAAAAAAGATAATTAAAAGAAATTCACCCGACCCTCCATCTATTGTCCAGCTAAACCTTAAGAACTAGAACCAAATAAAATCTTTATGTAACCTGTTTGTTAAAGTATCGGTTAAATGTAATACTTGAATCTTTTTTTTTAAAAAAAAAAAACAAATGTCCTAGGAAAACTTTTCCATATTGTTTGTTTAGTCCAACAGTTGTATTGGTCTTATGCAGGGGAGAAGACAAGAATTAATATGATGTATTTTTCGTGAGATTTGTTTGATTAAAGTTTTGTGTAAAATAATTGAAGATGGAAATGATACAAATTGGTGTGATAAAATTTGAAATCAAATTGTTCAATAGAAAAAAAAAAAAAAAACGATTTCGCTCTTTGATAGTGAAGAATGTTATGACAACTCAAGGACTTAATATTTCTCTTAAAAAACTAAACCTGCATAAATCCTGGACAATAATCGGAACTCAATTAAGAAGAAATCATCGAGTCAAATTCGATTGGCTTTGACTCCATAGGTTAAGTACAATATCTTAGGTGAGTTGACCCTTAGAGGCATATAGAAAAAACTAGAGAGTATTTATGCTTCTAGACCCATGACTAATCGTTTTGTTTTTAAGTAAGATTTGTACCCTTGAGGATGGATGAAGGAATGTTTAAATGATGTAATTATAATCTTATTGGAGAATGAAAGGTTTTGAAGTAGAAAACAATGTCAAAAGGTAACGAGGCATTGGTGACGGGAGGTCCTCTTGGAAATAAAATTATGATTGTCATGGGAGGAACATGGCATAAGGAGGTAGATTTGGTATAAATAACTCTATTTGAGATTCTAGACCTAGAGCGGATTACAATGATAAGAAATATATTTATTGTCAATGAAAAGGCCATGTTTGGTATCATTGTGAGAAGATGAAAGCCGACTTAGAAGAATTAAAGCTAAATCATACGAAGTCTAGAGATGTCACGATTACCATGAAAGATGGGAGCAAAGATGATGATGTTCTCATGGATCATAAATGTAATAAGGTTTGAAAAATTCATGGATTGTAGATTTTGCATGCTGCTTTCATATTTATTTAAAGAAATAATGTTTTGATACTTACAAAGAAAATGATGGAGATTCTATGGTGCTAGTAAATGATAATAAAATCTAAGTTGCTAGAATTGATAATGTTAAAATTAAGATATATGATGGAGCAATGAAAACCCTTTGTGATGTTAGGCACATGCCAAGACTTGAAAGAAAGTTTGTGAAACCAAAAATCTTACCATTTTGCGAACTTCCGCTTCCTTCGATTTGTTCCAAACACCTTTCGCAGCATCATCCTCATGCTTGGTATCGATTCGTTTGTTCTGATCAAGGACAAGCAAAGACAGTATTAATTTGTAAGTATACATTCGAAACTGAATTTGAATGTATTTTCTTGCAATCAGTTAAGGTTGTCCTTTTCGTTTTAATTTTTTGCAAGTATATATGATGATTAATTTGGAGTATGATCCCTCGTGATGTTCAAGAGCAATTGCAAGCCCATTGGCACCATAAGGTCAGTTTTTCGGAAAAGGCTCAGCATATAAACATACCATTCGACCTGACTTTGGAGCTTTAAAGCGTCCGCCTTGCAATAATTTCACAACAACACCAGATGGTTTCAACTTTACATTATTAACAATCCTTGTATCCACCCGCTTGTCACTCACTAGTGCCTGCATTATCTCAGGACGGCCATACATTGCAGCCAAGTGCAAAGGTGTATTTCCATCGTAATCCTTCTCATTTATAAGTGCTTCCAGTTCTCGATTTCTCAATATTTCTTCCACTAATTTCATTTGTCCACTCTTCGCTGCAACATGAAGAATGTTCTGTCCTTTTTCGTTGAGAAAATCCATTGGATCGAACCAATAAATAAGTAGTTCGCGTACAACTTCAAGATGGCCCTTCTGGCATGCAACATGGATGGGTAAGTTGCCTTCTTCGTTTCTTTGTGATACGGCAACAGGACATTGACTAACCAGGAGTCTTGCTCCAGAAAGGAAGCCCATGGATGCTGCAAGATGAAGGAGATTCCCCCCTTTTTTGTCCTCGGGAAGCATTATATCCGGCTTGCAGTCCGCTAGTTTTTCTAGTGCAGCATAATTTTAAAATTAGATAATCAATACAAAAAACACAAAATGCAGGAAGTTCATGCTTTACATAAAATGAAATTAAGAAGAATAAGTTTTAATGAGACCAATAATTATAAGTGTAACATGTTATTTTTCACGTCCAAATGATGAAAACTTGTGATTACCTAAATTTCCTTCCGAAATAGCTTTTATAAGAGAATCAATCATCTCCTCATCGCAACTCTCTACAGCCAAGTACAAGGGAGACTTGTCTTCCTTGTTCTTGTGGTAGGAAACTTCTAGGTCTTCATAAACGAGGAAACAGGCCACCTCTCGGCAACCCTTGATCACTGCATCATGCAAAGGGGTGTTTCCTTTATTATTCTTCATCCTCAGCAAGCTAGCAAGTTCAAGTGTTCTATGATGAATTTTCACATGCTTGACGATATTTTGAATTGTGTCAAACCGTCCAGCCCTAGCAGCCAGATGAAGCGCATTATCACCCAGGAAATTTTTCCTGGTGATTAGGAGGGGGAAGTGATGACACAGTAGCTGGGTCACACCTTCGCTTCCATGGCTTGCTGCCACATGAAGCAGTGAGTTTCCAGAGGCAGCAACATGTTTGAAAATGATATTGAGCACTTCCAGTTCATCGGACAAGAGACCAAACAAGGCATTGAAGTTGTCTTCCTTTGCATAGGTATAAACCTCCTTCTTCAGTATTTTATTTGGCTCAGAAAAACCATAATCTGCGATCGGAACTGGGAATTTAACTTCCTTCCATCGTTCAAGCTCCTCATGTACTGGTCTCGGCATATCTATTTGTAATTGCATAGAGAGTTGCAACGTGCTGGAAGATTGTATGATGTCGGTTGAGTGCTCGATCTTTTCTTGAGTTACTTAACTTTGCTGCGGTTGTCAGTGCTAATTACATGTCTTGTTATTTGGCCAAGCAAACTAAAGAATTCATAGAAAACATGAATGCAGGAGATATGCTAATTAAAGTATTAGTGAGAGAAAACGTACATTGGCTGCATAATTTTTTCTCAATACAATTATTTAGGAGCATAATGTCAAAATCAAGCTGTTAACGCATTGTCGATTTTCTTTTACATCCAGGTCCAAAAATAACTAAGGGTTTGTGTATTGTATTTATAATTAAAATAATATTTTATGACTTTTAATATATTTTCTAATAGTATTATATAAATTAATAAATTATAAGCACAAATATATCAAATTAATATAAATTTTATTAGCGCAAACAACTGATGCCAGTTTGTTAAGAGTTTGAATAGAATCTTCAAAAATAATTCTCATACTATAAAGGAGAAAATAATATATATATTTAACATAGTTTAGCCAATTACCTATTCCATAGGCGAAAATGAGGATATAACAAAGAAAGAGCAACATTTAAACCCGAAATCAATTATACTCATATCATAATACAAACTTGTAATTAATTAAGAAGAGAGTAATACTAAAATATCCCAAAAGTAATAAATACCTTGATGTGATGATTGATATAAAAATAAACAAAGATATCAAATAAACAAATCTCTCCCTTAAATGTATACCACAATAGGCAACCTTAAATATACACTAAATGGCTACCTCGCCCTTTTGATATATATCTCACATGCCTAAATTTCAAAGCAATCAAGATGTTTAAGTTTACTAGTGTCTAAACTCCTTGCCTAAAGAGGAAAAAGTAACTTCGTTCGGTTAGTGTCCAAATTAGACCATCTACTCACCATACAGTTGGTAGCAAGCATTAGTTACTCTCATGACTTTATACTATAATTAGGCCTTTAAAAAGACATCAAGACACGCCATCTCTATACTCGAAAATTTAGTAGTCTCCCTAATTTTTCTCTCTTCACGCAAGCGGACGTGATTCATGGATATATAAATACCAATGAAATACCAAGTATAAACATCCTCATATTCCATTCTTCTTCATATACACATCTATCATCTTCTTTATTCTTTACATCCTACACAGGTATAAATATAACCTCGAAGGCTATATTCCTTCTGCATCCGTCCTAATTTAAGTGTCGCATGCTCCTTCAAGCCCAATAGTAGACTTATGTTATAGGTGCTCTTGATTAGTTAAACCCGCTTGCTCCCCCAACTTAGATAAAAGTCATTCTCTCCATAATAAAGATCATTATCAAAATGCACACTCCAAACACACTAAAGCAAGATGAGAGGTTTAGTCATCATACAATCATAGACATAAAAAAGAAGTCAGACTAATTCCTCATATCCATACACTCTAAATTTTGCGCCAATAACCAAAAAAAAATTAAAAATCTAAATGCAAAATCTATAAATAGTTTTTTTTTTAAATAGTGAATATCTTCTCTTTTGAAGAATGAGAGATAGAGTGTACAGTGTAGGAAAAATTATAATGAACCTAAATACAGGGATCGTACCTCCTTTCTCTAGTTTACGAAGACGTTTCGGGTATTTTTCATGCACTTTCGATTAATCGCAAATAAAAAAATAATCCGAACAAATTTAAACTGAAATATTGACACCAAAAAAGAAAAAAAAAACACCAAACCATTACACTAGTCATGAGATTCCATGTTAAAATGAAAAAGAAAGAATATATAAGAAAATCAATTCTGAAGGAGAAACATATATTGGTGTACCTGTAAACTGAGAGAGAAGTAGCGTGAAGGGAGATGATGAAGAAGATCCGTTTTCTGCATGCACAAGTACTTTCCCTCCAAATAATTAGACAAAATTAGGAGACTTGTGCATACCGAGAGGTTTCTAAAGCTCTAAGAAACAAACTCCTTAGGTAATAAGGTTTCTAAAAAAAAAAAAGGTTTCTTTGCTTTTCACTTTTCCATTTAAAAAAGAGTGTGATGAAAGAGTAACACGTTGGCATCCAAAGGGAAGTGTTGTTTTAATAATATTTTGATTATACCAGCCTTTAAAATTAGAAAGTGTAGTTGTAATTATTTTTTAAAGTGCTTTTTATTTAGAAATATATTAAGATAATATTTTTTTATTTTTAAAAATTATTTTTGATATCAGCACATCAAAATTATCTAAAAACACAAAAAAATATTAATTTGAAGCAAATAAAAAATAAATAAATAAAATTTGAATTTGAATTCTTCTCATCTCTGTTGGCATGTACTCATATAGTGTAACGAGCTTTCTTATACTTTAAGCTAAAAAACCCTCCTTTCTGATTGGTATGGATTTTCGTTGAATTTTTCGGCGTATCGGCTCATCAATTAGCTTCCTCACCATCGAGATTCTTATTTTAGTTGCCTTTGTCATGTGCATGCACTTCCTCATTCTTCTTCTACGCGTGACTAAAGTCAATCCTTTATCATCATAATTTTTAGATGAATCAGGCTTCAAGTTGTCAACTTGAGGTGCAAGGGTTATACATGGAGTTTGACTTGAGGATGCAATGAAGTTCATCAGAAAGATGGCATTAAGTCTTATAGGTTCAAAGGAGCTTAAATATATTGTAGGGAGTGATTGACGTGGTCCTAATTGATCGTGGTTGTGATATTATAGATTGTTATTTCATCATCGAAAACGATATCTCCATTCCATGAATTTGGGCATGTATTACGAAGTGAGATGTTGTAATTTGATGCTTTGAAGAGTACCTTGATTTGTTTTCAAAGTATTGTTGAAGAACTTTTATGGGGTGTTTTGGCTTGATCCTCAAAGCTTTGTTCTTTGTAGACTTTAAGCATGGATGAAGGAGGCTTAAGAACTCTTCGAGAGAGAGCTTTCTTACTTGAAGAGAGAGAGGAAGTTTCTTTGCTTGAAGAGTTTGTCTCGAAGAAAATTTATATCTTCAAGAATCCTTTTTCGCTAGGTTGAGGCCCTCTATTTAAAGAGAATTGTAGGGGCTCTCAGGTCCTTTTCCAATGCCACATGACATAATTTCATTGGTTGATATTTATTGATTGGATCTTGCATTTATGATAAGATATCTTGAATATCTTATCCCAAGTGTTAAAGTTTCATTGGCCAAGAAATATATAAAGGCTCATTTATTTTTCAAGTCATTTATTTTAATTTTATTTTATCCTTTCTTTTAAAGAATAAAATAACACATGGCAAAATTTGACTAGTAGAAAATTTATGTTTCTCTACATATCAAGCTTTAAATTTGACAAGGGTTCCTCTTATCATTAATCCAAATTCCTAATAATTTTTATTTAAATTTAACCAGATCTTTTGCTCATTATAGCATTAAGCTTTGTTGAACATTAATTACTATTCACACCTGAATTTAAGCCATTCAAACAGCTACCATCGCCGCCCAGCGATCACCAAATCAAACGTACATCATACCTCTATTTTCTATGCTTTCATTCACTTTTGTAATTGCTTGCTTCCAGTTCTTGTGCTTAGATACTCAATTTGCTGATTAAGTTACATATTCCCTGATCTTTTGTTTCCGGATTCGATTTTTATCCCAATTATTTTTTTGCATGATGTTTTTTGTGTTTTAAGCGCTGTAGTGTTTCCTACTAGAATTAACACAAAATCATTAATAGAAAAATGAAAAACATTGACAGAATATTCTAACAATCAGTGTATAAGAAAAACTTTTTTCAGCAATTTAAATAATAACAAAATTCCCAACGAAAACATGCCATCGACAAGTTTCTCATCAGAGACTTGTGTTTCATCCGTAATTCTATCATAAACTTTCTTTTACAATGGAATGGCCAATGAAATACTCACACCAAAAAATTAGATTTTATCACTCATTTTGCACCGGGAAGTCCATAAAAAAAAGGAGAAAATATTACCGCTGAAATCATAGATGAAAAAACACTTTAATTTCGAATGGAATATTCCTTCACTGATTTTATCAGAAATGCCTAAACTTCATGTAACCTTTCAATGAAATGTGAGTAAATATTGCTGACAAAAACGCAATTTTTTTGTGATTCTTTAGTTTTTCATACTTTCTTTTGTGTTATTTAGTTTTTATAATCTCAAATGCATTTTTTAT